CTTAGCCGGCCCCGGTAAGAGCCCTAGAAGGGAAAGTTAGATATTCACGAAGCGTTACAATGAAATAGATTCGTTCAAGATGTTACGTTCAATAGAAGAAAAGAAAGACGTAACCGGGTAGAAGGATAACTGCTCTCGTAGTCCGCTCTTGGCACTGATTCCTTTCCAACTTTAGAAGCGAAGTGAAGTCATAGAGGTCAAGGGATCAGTAAAATGGAAGCTAAAGGCTAAGAAATCGGTATCTGACTTCTTTCTTCTTCTGCTTTAATGGGCTCCATTGGGGGACTCCCATCCGAGGGATTAATTCATCCTTCCTCTACTAGTAGCAGGAATATGGTACTCCACTAGGGACTAAAGGCTATTCCCTTCGGTACAACCAGTAACCCCTAATCCCGCAAGTCAGAGCATCAGAACGTACGAGCCGTCACCGAGGCGCTTGACTTGCCACACCAACCCTAACCTTTCTTTCGGTGTGAACGAGCCACCGGAGGTAAGGCTCGATGTAATTGACCTGTGCCTTACCAGAATAGTTTGTCAATCAACCACTTGCACTTTTTGACTTCCTTAACAACAACTTATTATAGTTGAGCCTTGTCTTTGCGAACACCTTCTCTCCCCCTGAGTTCTCTCTTGCTGGCTTCCCAGTGCTTTCTTTTAATGGCTTCCAAGGGTTCATAAAGGTTAGAGAAGCTAAGGACATAACAGAACAAATAAGATCGAGCTATCTCAAGACAGGTAGCTAGGCCCATGTAGGATAGATAGAATCTACTGCTGGTTTAGCTTATCGATGTCCTTGAGTCCAATGAGGAGAGGATAAAGAGTGGGCCATGATCTGACCTTTCTTTCACGCTAAAGCAAGAGAATTAGGAGTTCGTCTCTATCAACCTTCACAATGTGCTGAAACCCTATCAGTAGTGCTTACTCCCGATCCGAAGCACCCCCTTTCCATTCATAGAGAGATCCAAAGCTTTCCCGAAAGGAATTCTTATCGCTTAGCGCTTGTGCGTCGGAAGAGATCGGATAATCGGTTGCTAATGCTAATATGTAAGTAGCTCAGAGGTGCTGATCCAATCCGATCCAAGATGAGGCTCCGTAAGGAGAACTGGTAAAACCCTTTTCTCACTCCGTGATTTCCATTTACTCTCCTATAGTTGACATTTCTTCAGAAGAACGGGAAGGGAAGACGACCCCAAGTCGAAGTCTCCGGCCTCCTCTTCTCCTTCTACCGGGTCCGATGGCTGTTCCCCCCAGAAAGAATGCTTGGAGTTTCTGTCAGATGAGCAACACACGTTTTGGACTAACGAAATCATTCGAGCTTTCAACGATAGCTTAGCGGACATGGATACGGAGGGTAAGATCGGGAAAATTCCTGAAAAGGAAATTGTGGGTGCTTTTAATCTGGATTCCCACCTTCTTTCGAGGGAGGAAGCTGAAAGCATATGTTCCACATTACGAAGGACACCTTGGCCAACTTTCAACGAGAGCGATAGAACATCAATCTATGCCCATGCTTGGAAACTGATCGAAAAAGACCAAAGGCCCGGCATTGACTAGAGACTATCTACTAGAGTCGTTCGAATAATGAAGGAATAATTGTGCATTAGCCTTTCATTTTGTAGTGTTTCGGAAGATATTCTTTTTTATGGGTTGCTCCTCGGTACCGAAAACAGTAGGAAATCCTCTACCGCCCGAGAACCTGTGGGGATTTCAAATAAGGTTGGGCACATCCAATCCATATCTTGTCAGGTTTTGCTTTCAGCAAATCGATTTCTACTTTATATCTAGCCATACTTGGCTTGGCCGTTTGAGCAATTGAGTAGCCGCATCCAGTCGCAGTGGCATTCCTACCGTAGAGGCAATTGCAAAGACCCCAGCGGATGCTAACGTTGGAGTTTTTGGTCCAATTAATGTAATGTACAGTTATAAGATGATGATGATTAGCACACATTATAAGAGTAGAGTCGTTTATGAATGCCTTCGTGGTGGACTTGATTTTACCAAAGATGAGATCGTCTTCCTTGGAAGCACGGCCCGATTGAGTTCGCCAGGAACTCCCCCATTGTAAGGATCAAGGTTTAGAAGGATTGGGATAGTAACCAGCCCTATAAGATTTAAACCTTGTCCCCGCTAAACCAGCAAGGAGTCAGTCCGCCAATGGCACCTCCGAAAGCAATTCTTCGTCAGGTTGAGAAGCTTTGCTCCAATTTATTATGGGCCAGGGATGATTCGAATTTGAAAAGGGTCTTCCGAGCTTGGGACAGATTAACATTTCCGGTTGCTGAAAACGGCCTTGCCTTGCGCAGTTTGGAGGATGTATTGCGTGCCTTCTCCTGTAAGATTTGGTGGAAATGGTGCACTGGTAAGGGCTTGTGGGCGAGGTATCTCCAACAAGTTTCTTGGGAGAATTCCGTTGCTCGACGCCGTCTTATTGATGTGGATTCATTGATGCGTTCGAATACACTAGTTCAGGTCTATGATGGCTCTTCTTCTTTTTTATTTGATGATTGGACTGGTAATGGTGCATTTAGTAGATCTTTTTGATGAGGCTTATGATGCTGATTTGCGGTCTTTGGCCCTTAAGGATGTTTATATTAATGGAAGGTGGGATGTCTCGGCATTGGAGGAGTTGCTTCCTCAAGATGCTTTGCAATATGTGCTGACCTTCCATTTCGAATTCCTGCCTAGATCGGATGTGATCATTTGGAGGCCGAGTCTCAGGGGGATTTCGCTGTTAAGTCTGTTTACCAGCTGGTGCGCAAGAGACAACCTACACATGAGGTGTTTGCATTCATCCATTCCACTTAAATTATCCATTTTCTGTTGGCGCCTGTTAAATAATCTTCT